TTCATCTTTAGCCCATATCTCCAGTAATGGCTCCAAAATCCATAGTCATCTCACCCTGCACTCGAGGAGTTATACCAGAGCTTTCCTCCGCTCCTCCACTAATGCTCTACTCTTTGACTCAGCTAACTTCTATTTGTTCTTCAGCATGGACACAAATGTCTCCAGGAATATGTCCCAAACAGCAAAATCCGTGTAAATTATTCCTAAATGTTCCTATAGCATCTTGAACTTCCCTTCTCATAGCACATATCATAATATAGTGTTTTCATTGTCAGGTTTCTTGTCTATATATCTTCCATCACACTACATGCAGGAACCTGATGAACATTGCTCATCGGTATTTCTTCAATGCCTACCACACTCCCAGATGTATAGTAGGCATTCAATAAATTGAAGGAATGAATAAAAGAATCACCAAGTCACCCTGGCCAGTTTGGCTCAGTGGATAAAGCGTCAGCCTGCGGACTGAAGGGTCCCAGGTTCAATTCTGGTCAAGGGCATATACCTTGGTTGTGGGCACATCCCCAGTAGGTGGTGTGTAGGAGGCAGCTGATCAAAGTTTCTCTCTCATCGATGTTTCTAACTCTCTATCCCTCTCCCTTCCTTTCTATAAAAAATCAATAAAATATATTTTTAAAAAAAGAATCACCAAGTCTCCAGCTAGGGTCAACAGTATCATAAATATGTTTCAAGCACCTATTATGTGTCATTTTACTAACCAAATTATTATTTTTATTGTTGACAGTAATACAGATATCCCCCATCCCCCCCTTATCCCCTCCACCCAACATATGCCCCACCCAGGCCTTCATCACCCTATTGTCTGTGTCCATGGGCTATGCATATAAGCATATATGTACTTTGCTTAATCTCCTCCAACCCGCCCCCCCACATTCTCCCCTCTGAGATCTATCAGCCAAATTATTTTTTAAATTGAATTTGTCCCCTGGAGTTATTTACCAATGCCATCATCTTAGTTAAGTATCTATCATTTCTTGATTAAGTTACTGCAGTAGCTTTCTAACTTCAATCTCAGGCCTCTCTATCCTATTTGCCACACAGCTGCCAGAATGAGCTTTCTGGAAACAAATCAGGCCATGCCACTCCACAGCTTAATGACCACAGTGAGCTCATAATAGCCTACAAGGTAGTCCAAAACCTGAGCATAGCAGACCAGAACCTACGTATCTTGGCTCCTGCAGCCTCTACTCTAGCCACATCAACAGCCACGCCCCCATGGGCACCCTACTCTCCAGTCTTAGTAAACTAATTGCAGATTCCCCCAAATGCCTCGGCTTCTCGTCATCCCTTCTCTCACACACACTTGCCATCAAGCAGCTTGCCTGGTCCACACCTATGCTTTCAACAAAAGGTGTGTGGACCCTTTGTTAGACACTATGACCAAGTGGGATTTCTCCCATGAATGTAACATATGAAAGGCAATTAATGTAATGCACCCTGCTAATAGAATGCAGGGGATGTGGGGGATCTCATGTTCGTTTATTTCATAGATGTAGGGGGAAGGGAAGCATTTGACAAAATCCAACACTCTTTCATGAAAATAAATTCAACAAAATAGGAATAGAAGAGAACTTCCTCAACCTGATAAAGAGCATCCCATTGACAATGGTGAAAAACTGGGTACTTTCCCCCAAGCATCAGGAGGAAGATAAGAATGTTTGTTCTTGACATTCTATGCAACATTATACTCAAAGTTCTAGCCAGGCCAACTAGATAAAATGCATTCCAATTGGAAAGGAACAAGTAAAACCATCTTATCCACAAAAACATGTTTTACATGTTTATGTAAAACACTAAAGAATATAGTAAAACACAACAGCCTATTCAAATATGCAATAAAGGAGCTCAGCAAAGTTGCAGGAGCCCAGATCAATGTGCAAGCATCAGTTGTATTTCTACACACTAGCAACGAACATTCCAAAAATGAGGTTAAGAAAATCATGGCTTTTATAGTATCACCCAAAAGAAAATACAATACTGAGGAATAAATTTAACAAAAGACATGTCAGACTTGTACTCTGAAAAGTGCAAACCATTGCTGAAGGAAATGAAAGAGGACCGAAATAAATGGAAAGGCATCCCGTGTTAGTGGACTGAGCATTTAATATTGCTAAGATGGCCACAATCCCCAAGGCAATATTCAGACTCAGTACCATGCCTGTTACAATCTAACTTGGTTTCCTTGTGAAAATTGACAAGCTGACCCTTAAATTCACATGGAAATGCAAGGAATATGGATAGCCAAAACCCTCTCACAAAGAAGAACGAAGTGGGAGGACTCTCACCTCCCAATTTCAGTGCTAACTACAAAGCTATAGCAATCCTACAAAGTGTGGCCCTGGCATAACAATAGACCTATTGTAGGTCAATGTTTTAGAATTTAGAGTCATAAATAAACTCATATATGTATAAATAATTGATTTCCAATAAGGGTACCAAGACCATTCAATGGAAGAATGAAATATCTCTTTAAAAAAAGGGGGTGCAGAGACAACTCGATATCCACAGAGATAAGAATGAATATGGACCCCAAACTCACACCAGGTACAAATATTAAATCTGATGGACCACAGACCTAAACTTAAGGGCCAAAATAATATAACTCTTGAAATAAAGCATAGGTGCAAATCCCCATGACCTTGGATTAGGCAACGGGTACAAAATATGAGAGCAAAAGCAAAGCCACAAAAGACAAAGAAAAAAACCAGATAAATTGTATGCCATCCAAATACTAAAATTTTATGCATCAAAGGACTCTATCTAGAAAGTGAAAGGACAACCTCCAGTATGGGAGAGACATTTGCAAATTACATATCTGATAGTGGCCTACTTTCCAGACTGCATCAAGAACCTTAAAACTCAGCAACAGAAAAGACAAGCAGCCCAGTTTTAGGAAATGGGCAAAGCAGTTGAAAGTACATCTGCTTCCTCCAAAGCAGAGGTACAAATGGCCAAGAGGCACATGAAAGGATGCTCCACATCACTAGCCATTAGGGAAATGCAAATCAAAACCAGGAGATACCACTTCACACCCACTGGGATGGCGATTATAAGCAAGACAAAAGGGAAATAAGTTTTGATGAGGATATGGAGCAATTGGGGCCCTCAGACACTGTTGTCAGAACTGTAAAATGGAACCATCACTATGGAAATCAGTGGGCGGTTCCTCAGGAAGTTAAACATAGAATTACCACTTGGCCTGGCAATTCTGCTCCTAGATAGACACACAGAAGAACGGAAAACAGGTGTTCAAACAGAACCCTGTGCAGGAATGTTCACCGCGGTGCTATTCACAACAGCCAGGAGGTGAAAATAACCCAAACATCCATCAACTGAGGAACCGATGCCCAACATGTAGTCCACCCATACAATGGAATATTATTCAGGCATGAAAAGGGAATAAAGTGCTGATTCATGCTACCACCGGGGTGAACCTTAATGAGACCATTATGTTCAGTCAAAGTAGGCAGACCCAAAAAGCCACCTGTTTATCCTATGATTACATCCCTAGAAATTTCCAGAATAGGCGAGGCTCTATGGACAGGAGGCAGGTTCATGGTTGCCTGGGTCTAGGAGAGGAGGAGGTCAGTGGGAGTGACTGCCACACAGGGTACAGGGGTTTCTTTTTGGGGAGGTTCCAACGTTTTGGAAGTAGATAGGTGTGCTGGCTGTCCAACATCACCAGTTATACCTGGTGCCACTGGATCCCACATGTTTTTTCTCTACAACATTCCTGACCAGTGGACAGTGAGAGTTCCCTCAAAGAGAGGGTCCCATGAGCAAGGGTGAGCAGGGAGCTGCCAGCACCCCTTCTTTGCAGGCCCTGGCCCACCAGGGCCAATGGGAAAGCAGTGACCTCACGGAACTTATGTGTCATACAGCCTGTACCTGGACCAATGAGGGGTCGGTCCATGGTCGCTAGGATACAGAGCAGGAGCCTCTGTACTGGTCATCTTGAGCGGTTGAGACCAACTGGCATCTTCCTGCACTTGACCGCACTGAACCGCACCGCGGCACACCACAGCGCACTGTAGATCTAGGCGGGTCGGAGACAGCGCCTCCCAGCACCCATCATGTCTGGGCAAAGGAGCCGCGGAGGGTCTTCTGATCACCAGAGGCGGAACCGCACCCGCAGCCGCACCAGCAGAGCTGAATTGACCTTCTCCGTGAGCCACCTGGAGCACCTCCTGCGGGACGGCCACTACACCCAGCGTCTCAGCGCCAACGCACCCGTGTACCTGGCGGCCATCATCCAGTACCTGACGGCCACGGTCCTGGAGCTGGCGGGCAACGAGGCCCAGAAAATCGGCTGCAGGCGCATCACCCCGGAGCTGCTGGACATGGCGATCCACAACAACGCCCTGCTCAGCGGCTTCTTCGGGAACACCACCATCTCCCAGGTGGCCCCGGGCAGGCGGTAGCTTCCCAATGTGACCTGGGCTCCCCGGGGCTGGGCCCCTTCACAGCCCAGGAAGCCCGGCCTTTTCTGGCCCCTTGGGCAAATTTTTTGAAAATAAATTGTTAAAGGAAACCCATGTGCCTCCTTCATTCACTTTTTTTGGGAGTTGTTTGAAAGGATGGCCTGGGGTTGTTGTTTTCCTGGGAGCGGGGGGGGGGGGGGGGTGGAGTCGGGGATGACAAGACAGGCGCAGCCCCCCATGGTGACAGTGCAGGGGGTGGTCCAGGGTGGGAGAGGCCGGCTGGGTGGGGGTAGGCTGGGGTCTGGAAAACTCCCCCATCGTCTCTGAGCAAGTCAGAGCCTGGCAAGGTCCCCAGAAGGCTGGTGTTCACTGGGGTGGAGTGCAAGACCATGACTCAGGCATCGTGATAGGGTGAAGGTGCAATGCCAACCCGCCTGCAGAATGGAGATGTGGGCGGAGTGGTTGGCATCGACTCCAAGAGGGCTTTGACAGGAAGATTGAGGAGTGAAGGGGAGCGGGGACAAGGAGAAAGATGCAAAATCAGAATGAGCATCACGCCTGGTCACGAGTTTATTTTTGGTCCTGTTCCCTTAGAGATGCTGGAGACACCCTTAGCAACCTGGGTAAACAAGCTGTCACCTAGCAACAGAGGACTTGCAGCCAGGCCCCGCCCCAGGACCCGTGATTGGTTCATATTCATTGTACCAGACAAGGCCGCGCCCAGGGCATCCTGTATTTACATATCACCAGGGCAACGATAGGGCGTGGGATGCCTGTGCCTGCTCTGTGGGAGGGAGGCCGATGGGGGACGCAGGGCACGTCGCTGTCAGCTGCCTGCACCCACAAAGTCCGCCCAGAGGAAGCGCTTGGGCTGGGAACATGGCGGCGTCCTCCAGCGGCCTGGGTGGCTTTTCCGGACTGGGGATGGATGCCGGGGACTTCCTGGCCAGGTACCGGCAGGTGCTGAACAAGCTGAAGAAGCGGTTCCTGCGGAAGCCGAACGTGGCGGAGGCCGGCGAGCAGTTCGCCCAGCTCGGCCGCGAGCTGCGCGCCCAGGAGTGCCTGCCCTACGCGGCCTGGTGCCAGCTGGCCGTGGCGCGCTGCCACCAGGCGCTGTTCCACGGGCCGGGGGAGGCCCTGGCGCTCACCGAGGCCGCCCGCCTCTTCCTGCAGCAGGAGCTCGAGGCGCGCCAGCGGCTCGCCTGCCCCGCCGCCTACGGGGAGCCCCTGCAGGCGGCCGCCAGCGCCCTGGGCGCCGCCGTGCGCCTGCACCTCGAGCTGGGCCAGCCGGTGGCCGCCGCCGCCCTCTGCCTGGAGCTGGCCGCCGCCCTGCGCGACCTGGGCCAGCCGGCCGCCGCCGCCGGCCACTTTCCAGCGCGCCGCCCAGCTGCAGCTGTCGCAGCTGCCCCTGGCCGCGCTGCAGGCGCTCGGGGACGCCGCCTCCTGCCTGCTGCTGGCGCGCGACTACAACGGCGCCCTGGCCATCTTCACGCGCATGCAGCGCCTGGCGCAGGGAGCACGGCAGCCAACCCCGGTGCCGCCGCTCCCGCCGCCGCCGCCCGCCGCAGGGACAGGGAACAGCCGCCGGGCGTCCAGCCTGGACCCGGCGCCCCCGGCCCCGGCCCGCCGCGCCGCTCCCTCCCAAACGCCGCCGGCTCCGCGGCCGCGCCCTCCCCCGCGGTGCTGGGCGCCTTCTCGGACGTCCTGGTCCGCTGCGAGGTGTCCCGGGTGCTGCTGCTGCTGCTCCTGCAGCCGCCGCCCGCCAAGCTGCTCCCGGAGCACGCCCAGACTCTGGAGAAGTACTCCTGGGAGGCTTTTGACAGCCAGGGCCAGGAGAGCGGCGGCCAGCTCCCCGAAGACCTCTTCCTGCTGCTCCAGTCCCTGGTCATGGCCACCCACGAGAAGGACACGGAAGCCGTCAAGGCGCTGCAGGTGGAGATGTGGCCGCTGCTGAGCGCCGAGCAGAACCACCTGCTTCACCTCGTGCTGCAAGAAACCATCTCCCCCTCGGGACAGGGGATCGGATGACTCGCCTTAGCCTGGTGACTTTGCTGCCAGACCTCAGGCACCCGCCTCTGCATTTGGAGGGAAATAAAAGATATTGATCACCGCCGTTCGACCTTTGTTAGCTTATTCCTCTTGCCACCATAGGAATTTAGTTGACTGAAAGTTACCTGTACCCCAAAGACTTCTTTCCATAATAGTGGGGGGGGGAGCAGTGTGATGGGATCAGAGCAGAGCACATGGCTCGCTTCCCCAAAAACTGCAACTTAAAAATGAGACTCCTTTTACCCCGTTTCTCTTCCACCCAAGTCGCCTCACCCCATACTCCCATCTTTGTTTCATTATCAGGATTTTATTTTGCACTGCTGTCTAAATACTTAAGCTATGTGGGTTTTTTTTTATCACGACTAATTTCTTGGTGCATTTTTATATCTATCTACTATCTATGTGATCACCCCATTTCTCCTGTTTTATCTACCCCATACATATTCATGGGAACCATTTGGTTCCATACATCATTGTTGCTACAGCTCTAAATCTATGATAAAGCCATTCCAAAAGTCCTGGCATGTGGTTTAGATTTACTTCATCTATAAAATGGGAATAATTTATCTACTTGTCAGGCCCCAGAAAGCAGAAACAGTTCTCTTTCAGTTCCAAGATGTATTCATTCATTTGAAATTGACAGTGTACTTAGTATGCAAGTACGCTGGACAATGAGTCTACAGAGATCATTTACTCCGATAGCTGCAATGCAAATGTATCAGGTGCAATGTGGGGTTGGGAGATGTGGTTGGAGGGGGGTCCAAGGCAAAGGTGTCAGGTGTGCATTGGAATTCACATGTATGCTTCTATTCTGAGAGGTACCTTATAATCCACAAATTATCATGACTAATTTCTTGGCGCATTTCTATATTTGTAGTAGGAATCTTTCTACAGCTCTTACATAACTCGACTATGTAAAATCAGCATGGTTCTTTGGTGTTGTGTGATCATGTATATGACCAAAAGTATGATGGCGTTCCATTTAAAAACTCTAAATTTTCAAGCCTTTTTCGTCCAGATGTTACATACAAACTGATTTGGCTGTGTGGTGTTTTTTGTTTTCTTTTTAAATTCAAACTTATTTTATTTACAGTTTCAAGAGTGATAAGAATTCTTCAGAGTATACTCTCGTTCTCAATCATTCAGCTTTGGGAAAATGCATCCCAAACCAATACAAAATAATATTGAATGTAAACTGTAACTGAAAAAAAAATTAAAAAGACCAGTTTGCAACAGTACTCGGACATAATAAGGAGAGAACCAAATTAAGTAAAAAGGAAATGTGTGAATAAAGTTGATATACACTGGCTGAAAAAATTGAGTCTTAAATAGTTTAAGAATAATGTATTTGTATATAAAACCAAGTTGTTAATAAAAATGAACTGGAAAATATTTGATAGACAATGGAAAGCTAACATGTTGATATTTGATGTGCCTCAGGAAAAGCCCACCATTCAAAGAACAGAAGAAATAGTCAGATTTACAGCTGGAAATAAAAAGTTCCTGAGTTGATGAAAGACATGTGCTTAAGAATGCACAAGTTAAAATGGGAACAAATTAGGGAGTAAAACTAAGAAGTAAAAGGATTAGAGAAATAAGGTAAGGGAAAAAATAAGACTATTGACTATAACAGATTAAACCAACAGAAGCAACAAAGATAAGTCACCATTACAAAAATCATATAAATTATAAGGAGGGGTAGCATGAAAAAAAATGCTTTCAGAATACAGAGAATCAGCAAAAAGATAAAAGTGATTAGAGAAAAACATATGTTATGGAGCTAGAAGTCAAATCCAGGCATATCTGACTTCAAAGTCTGCACCATTGTCTTCTGCCCTTGGATACATGCACAACCACTCACCTTCAACTTTCTTGCTACATTTAGCTTATTTTAATTCCACGTTACACTCTAGACCACTATCTATTCAAATGACCAGAATATGTATACTCTGTTGCGAATCACATGTCATTAAAGCCATTTCTGATGTATGATCTAATAGGAAAAGATATAAGCCTATGACTGAATAAGAAAGGTATGTATATGAGTCCACAGAACTCAGACCCTACCTAAAATCTGCTCCAGAATACAATGTAGCCTTTCACGGAGAAAATCTGGGAAGGAGTTCATCTATGACCTGCCCACCAGGGAAGGCCCACGGGGAGAAGGTAGAGTCCAGCGCAGCCTGCAATCCTTCGCTTGTAAAATGTAAACATCTCCCAGTCAGGAGAGACCATGGCCCTCAGGTTCTTTTGTTTGTTTGTTTGTTAATGCTCACCCAAGGATATTTTTCCATTGATTTTTTAGGGAGAGTGGAAGAAAGAGGGAAAGACAGAGAGAAACAATGATGTGAGAGAAACACATCGATTGGTTGCCTCCTGCACACGCCAAGGTACATGCCCTTGACTGGAATTGAACCCAGGACCCTTTGGTCCACAGGCCGACACTCTATCCACTGAGCCAAACCAGCTAGGGCAGTCCTCAGGTCCTTGCATCCTCTGTCCTGAACGGGTAAACTCCATCCTTTGTGCTCTCCACCTCCTGACCTACTTCTTAGCTGCAGACCCCTCAACTCATCTCTTATTTTCTATATTCTGATGCCCTCCTCACATCTGTTAATTGGTACTAGACCTCAAGCACTGACCTCCATCTTTCTTCCTCCATCAATTATTTAACTTATCTGTGTCTTAAGTTCCTCTTCTACAAAAAGAAAATAATAGTATGAATTTGGCTGTGGACCCTAGTGACTTTGGGTATCATCATATTTTCTAGAGTTGGAATAAGAACCTTATTAAACGTTCAATAACAACAAAACTGCAATAATCAAAAATTAAACAGCCGAAACCGGTTTGGCTCAGTGGATAGAGCGTCGGCCTGCGGACTGAAGGGTCCCGGGTTCGATTCCGGTCAAGGGCATGTACCTGGGTTGCGGGCACATCCCCAGTGGGAGATGTGCAGGAGGCAGCTGATCGATGTTTCTCTCTCATCGATGTTTCTGACTCTCTATCTCTCTCCCTTCCTCTCTGTAAAAAATCAATAAAATATATTTTTTAAAAAATTAAACAAAAGAGAATAGGTAATAGCGTTAAATTTGGCATCTAAACTATTGACTCAACTAATCAACAGGAGCTATTAGTTTCCAACATTAAATCATGGACCAGGGTCTTGCTTCAGAATGAACTGAAGAACAGTTAAACATTCAGTGGTCTCATAAGCTCCAAGTGATGCTGTGGATAATCCTAATCATCATATTGTCCAAAGTAGTAGATTTGGCTTTTCCACTTACTTGCTCCAGTGGTCAAATATAGGGGTGAGCAAAAGTGGTTTTACAGTTGCGACTGCATGAAACACAGAGTTTATTTATTAATTATTGTATTATTTATTTGTTAATATTATTGTTTTTATTTCATAACCTTTCTTATTATTTAACCTTAGGGTAATAAGGGCTGGTTATTTAACCTACTTTTGCCCACCCCTGTATCTGCCTTTTATTCCACCAGTTTCCCTATCTGTGCCATAGGCCAGTGTCACTTTATGTAATGTCCCCAAGAGACCTCTGGAGGGCGGCAGAGGGAAGGATGTCAAGAGCTGTGGTACATAAACCAACTGGAAAGACAAATTGTAGTCTGTTTTATTACTATAGGCATGAAATCTTCAAATCAAGTAAAATCTTCAAATTTGTCCCCCACCGACAAGACATCTGGACTAAGGTAATTGTGTTGAAGGTCTACTTTGCTCTACTAGTGTAGATTCCATCTTTCTGTTCTCTAGGAAAGTCTTTGGTCTTCAACCCAATCTTTTTCTATACCCTGAGCTGTGGGGCTATTTTCAGTATCAACAGGAAGAGACCTGCCCCAGCAACATTACATTTCCCAAAGCCAAACAATACTTAGATCCCTGGGGAAAAAGAAGTATTCAGTATGTCTCTCAGAAGACCTCATAGGCTGTTTATTCTTGACTTCCTTTTCTTGCTTTACCAGTTCTCTGACACCATGCACCTTCCTCTTGCAAATAAACATAAGACCCTCATATTCCCAGAACAGCAAGAAATACTTGGGAAACATGGTCTTTTGTCAAGTGAATCCCTTGGGTTTATAATAAAAATAAATTCTCTACTCATATTCTATCCTCTTCTAACATCAATTTTATTATTCTCCCTTACATTTCACTCCCGAATTAGCTCCATTGTCTGTGCTCTAAGAATACTTTGGCTCAGAGTAGCCCCCTTCCACTTCAGTGGTGCTGATGAGTGATGTCAGGAAATATCAGCTCACACATGTTTTCTCTATAAACTCACAGATATTGTTTTCTATACAATAGTAATAAGTAATATCTAAATAAGTAAATGTCATAACTAATCATAAAAATAACTAAATGTGTGGTGGGTAGGGATGGGGACTGTCCTAGTGTCAAAAGAAGAGAGAGCATCAGAAATTATCAACTCACCTGAAAATTCTGGGGCTGCTTCCAGCACAATGCCAGACATAGGCAGCTCAGCTCTAGTAGAAAACGCAAGCCTGTACAGCTCAGAAATTGCCCCAGAATAGCCATTTGGTGCTGTGGTTCCTCAATTGCCTGCATCCAGCTCACAATGGCACTGGGTTTTAGAATTACTAGCTTCAAAGTCATTTAAGACTCTCATTGTCCATAAACAAAGAGTCTACTGAGAGAGAGAGAGAGAGAGAGAGGGAGGGAGAAAGAGAGAGAGAGAGATCCACACCCAGAAAAAAAGAGGAAAAAGAGATAAGAAAAAGCAAATGGGCTATTTCTCTAGTCACAGGGATGTAATGTACAGTACAGGGAATACAGTCAATAATATTGCAATAACTTTGTATGGTGTCGGATGGGTACTACTAGACTTATCAGGGTGATCACTTAGTAAGTCATGTAAATGTCTAATCACTGTGCTGTACACCTGAAACTAATATAATATTGTATATCAACTGTAATAGAAAAAATTTTAAATTTATTTTTATTGTTAAAAGTATTACAGATGTCCCCCCTTTTTTCCCATTGACCCCCTCCACCCTGGGCCCACCCACCCCCAGGCCTTCACCACTCTATTGTTTGTTCCATGCTTCTATGTTCCTGGATCTATTTTGTTCATCAGTTTATTTTGTTCATTAGATTCCACATATGAGTGAGATCATGTGATACTTGTCTTTATCTAGCTTATTTCGCTTAGCACAATACTCTCCAGGCCCCTCCATGCTGTCTCAAAGGGTAAGAGTTCCTTCCTTTTTACAGATGCATAGCATTCCACTGTGTAAATGTACCAAAGCTTTTTTATCCATTCATCTACTGATGGGCACTTGGGCTGTTTCCAGATATTTTTTTTTTTTTAAGGAGTCATCCATTTATTGGCTAGGGTTTCTACCAAGGTTAGTGTGTAAGGAGCTAGAGGTCCATATTCAGAGCAGGCCAATTTTAATTCTTTAAGTATTTTGTAAGGTATAGCCTCCCAGGTGGGGCTTTCGTCCTCATCAAACTCATTCTCATATGCAACTGGGAAGCAGAGTGAGAACTCAAGATCTCCATTAGCTTCAGCTTCTCTTATCGCCCTTTGAAATTTAGACATGGAGCTCCTAGGAGCCGCATGACCTGGTTTAGGCTTCCTTTCTAATTTAGGGAGCCTGTTTTGAATGGGAGGGCCTCTCTCCTCTCTACTGACTGGAAAGGAACAATGATCATGTTTATGATATTTATTCTCCTTCCGATCAGTAGGCATAGCTAAATTGCTCTTAGATTGAGCTGGAGACAATAATGATGTGTCTTCTCTAGGTGGATCCGAGGGACTATTTAAAGTTTGAGAACGTTCAATAGTTTCTGCCTCTGGTGCCAAGGTGCCACGAATTGAATTCCAGAGGGAAAAGCTTTTTGCTGGGACCTTCTCAGATCCATGGTAGCTGTAATAGTTCATTAATTGCTTTCCTACTTTAGTCCAAGTTTCTAAATTAACAGTTCCATCCTCAGGAAGCCATTGACATACATCTTCTATAAAACTTTCTGTCTGACTGGGAGTAACCTTAACTCCTCTGCTAGCAAGCATATGCGTTAAAACATTAATACAGACTCTTTTTTCTTTAGACTCAGTATGACCCATCTTGTCAATCTAAGTTCTGTACTAACTACCCGCTTACCCTACTTATCCTCTATAGGAGGGGTCTGCAGTACCCTACGGTGCAGTCCTATCCGTCCCAAGTACTTCCCAAGTACGGGGGGACTTACCTAGAGGCCCCACGTTGGGCGCCAGTTGCTGGGGTCCAATCCCAGCGGGTTCAGGGGTCCCCAAAGGTGTGGACGGAGTCGGCGAAGAAGGAATGACACGAAGACAGCCTTCAGTTGATCAGCAGCCTAGTCAGGACCTCTAGCCAGGATCTCCAGCCAAAGTTCTGGTCGGAGCTCTGGTTAGGAACTGATGAGGTTCTCTGTTTCCAGATCTTAGTTATTGTAAATTGTGTTGCTATGAACATAGGGGTACATACATTCTTTTTGATTGGTGTTTTGGGTTTCTTAGGATATATTCATAGAAATGGAATCACTGGGTCATAAGGTAGTCACTTTTTTTTTCTCTTAGGAAACGCCACTGTTTTCCACAGTGGCTGTACCAGTCTGCATTCCCACCAACAGTGCATGAGGGTTTTCTTTTCTCCACATCCTCACCAACACTTGTTTGTGGATTTATTGATGGTAGCCATTCTGACAGGAGTGAGGTGAATCTCATTGTGGTTTTAATTTGTCTCTCTCTGATGATTAGTGACATTGAGCATTTTTTCATATGTCTATTGGCCATCTATGTGTCCTCTAAAAAATTATCTATTCAGATCCTTTGCCCATTTTGTTAATTAAAATATTATTTCATTGATTTTTTACAGAGAGGAAGGGAGAGGGATAGAGAGCCAGAAACATCTATGAGAGAGAAACATCGATCAGCTACCTCCTGCACACCCCCTACTGGGGATCAAGCCCGCAACCAAAGTACATGCCCTCGACCAGAATCAAACCTTCAGTCCATGGCCCAATGCTCTATCCACTGAGCCAAACCAGTCAGGATCCTTTGCCCATTTTTAAAAAATTGGATTTTTTGTGTGTGTTGAGTTGTATAAATTATATATTTTGGAAATTAACCCCTTATCAGATGTATCATTGGCAAATATGTTCTCCCATACAGTGGGTTGTCTCTTCATTTTGTTGGTTTCCTTTGCTGTACGAAAGCTTTTTAGCTTGGTATAGTCCCATTTGTTTATATTTTCCTTTGTTTCCCTTGCCTGAGGAGACACATCGGTAAAAATATTGCTATGAGAAATGTCTGAAATTTTACTACCTATGTTTTCTTCTAGTATTTTTATGATTTTGTGACTTACATTTAAACCTTTAATCCATTTTGAGTTTATTCTTATGTGGACTTTTTAAAGAACCCTTGCCTTTATCTTTGGATCTTGAGTCCTAGGTAGGCATAAAGAAACACTATTAATTTTAAAAAAATCAGGATCTTTAAGTGTCATGAACCATTGTACAGTGGGGCCTTGACTTATGAGTGTCCCGACTAACGAGTTTTTTGAGATACCAGCTGTCTCTCGGCTGATTTTTTGCATTGAGTTGACAGAGTAATTTGAGTTAACGAGCTCCTTAACGAGCTCGGTCTCAGAACAAATTAAACTCGTAAGTCAAGACCCCACTGTACAAGTAAAAAAAAAAAAATCTGGAATAAAAGGTAGAATGGGTAACTAGATGTTGATTCCCAGATTTCTAGTACATAAACTTGTGGAAACCTTCCATTATGCAAAGTCTGTTGGGGAAAGGGGAGAAAAGAGCATTTAGAGCTTGAATTCCAACTAAAACTTGATTCCAACATCTTTAAAATATTAATGCCTTACTTTCAGTTCTGGCAACATAGAAGACTAATCTGATAGTCACACTGTAAATAAAAGCAAGATTCAACTTCATGCTGTCTATAAAAGATGTTTTTTAACCATACAGATGAACCGTGAGGACATTATGCTAAGTGCCCTCCCACACTCACAAAAAGAGAAATACTGCACAATCCCATTTACATGAGGTATCTAAAATGGTCAAATTCACAGAATCCAAGAGTGTAATGGTAGTTTCTAGGTTCAAAGGGGAGGGAGAAATGGGGAGTTACTAATCAATGGGCATAAATTTTCAGATAAGCAAGATGAATTAATTCTAGAGATCTACTGTAAATATTGTACCTATCCAACAATAATGTATTGCACACTAAATTTTTATTAAGAGGATTAACCTCATTTTAAATGTTATCACAATACTTACATGTATGAATCCATTAAGCTGAAGTTCTAGAACAGGCCAAACTATTATGTGGTGTAAAAAAATAAGAACATTGGTTGCCTCTAGGGTATGAGGATGAGGCTAATTGGGTAGGTGCTTGAGAAATCTTTTCATATGATCCAGAAGTCCAACTCCTGGGTATTTACCCTAGAGCAGTGGTCGGCAAACTGTGGCCCCTTGAGTGTGGCTCTTCCACAAAATACCACGTGCGGGTGCGCACGTACAGTGCGATTGAAACTTCGTGGCCACACTCAAGGGGTCAAAGAGCCGCATGTGGCTCGCGAGCCATTGTTTGCCAACCACTGCCCTAGAGAAATGAAAATTTATGTTCATACAGAAATTATCCATGACTTTGTTGAACTAAAAAACAACAGTAAGTAAAGTCAGTTATTTTACCAACAAAAATGGGCTCATTGGGGGAACGGCAAAGAATTGCAATTCAGGACAAACTATGGCAAAACCATAGGCAAGTGCAGAGAACAAAGGAGAGGAACTGTTCCTTTAGAGAGGAATGGGTGAAGTTGGGAGAGGCTGTTACAAATAGAGTCCATTGGAGAAAATTGGGAGTTGCAAGTGTAGTGGATTTTCATTGGATGGGCTGTGACAGTTTCTCATTGGTTGCCCGGCAATGAGAAAATCTTCCTTGTAGTTCAGTGAAAGACTAGGTCACTGGCATAGAAGCAGTAGCCATAATCAAATTCAAACTACATAGGACAAAAAGAAGTCTCATTCACTTTAAATTATGGGTATCAGAGTCAGTTATTAATCTGGCTTTCAGAAACTAAGGCCCCCTTCCCTAGGTATATGTAAATCAAGTGATTTGATGAAGAACCTGGTCTAGCACAGGTTACACACGCCAACTAGTGGTTGGGGAAAAGCCTTTCCAGGGGCACAGTTCCCATGCAAAATTGTTGAGGGGCTAGACCTTGCCTGGTACAAGCAGCATATGCAAATAGAGAATCCAGGGTCAGCCCTGGCCAGGCACCCTTTGTTGCTAGGTGACAGCTTGTTTACCTAGGTTGCTAAGGGTGTCTCTTAGCATCTCTAAGGGAACAGGACCAAAAAAACTGATCCTTCATGACCTTCATTCCGATTTTGCATCTTTATTGCTTGTCCAATCCTCCCCTGACCCCCATCAGTCCTCAATCTCCCCGTCAAAGCCACTGCCCCGTGGGAGTCGATGCCAACCACTCTGTCCACCCCTCCATTCTGCAGGCGGGTTGGCATTGCACCTTCACCCTATCACGATGCCTGAGTCATGGTCTTGCACTCCACCCCAGTGAACACCAGGCTTCTGGGGACCTTGCCAGGCTCTGACTTGCTCAGAGACGATGGGGGAGTTTTCCAGACCCCAGCCTACCCCCACCCCAGCCGGCCTCTCCCACCCTGGACCACCCCCTGCACTGTCACCATGGGGGGCTGCGCGTGTCTTGTCATCCCCGACTCCACCCCCACCCCCCCCCCCCCCCCGCTCCCAGGAACACACCACCACCAGCCCATCCCTCCAACCACCTCCCACACAGAGTGACTGAAGCAGGCACATGGGTTTCCTTCAACACTTTATTTTCAATAACTTGGCCCAAGGCGCCAGACAGGCCCGGGCTGCCTGGGCTGTGAGTGGGCCGAGGCCCGGGGAGCCCAGGTCACATTGGGAAGCTACCGCCTGCCCGGGGCCACCTGGGAGATGGTGGTGTTCCCGAAGAAGCCACTGAGCAGGGCGTTATTGTGGATCGCCATGTCCAGCAGCTCCGGGGTGATGCGCCTGCAGCCGATTTTCTGGGCCTCGTTGCCCGCCAGCTCCAGGACCGTGGCCGTCAGGTACTGGATGATGGCCGCCAGGTACACGGGTGCGTTGGCGCTGAGACGCTGGGTGTAGTGGCCGTCCCGCAGGAGGTGCTCCAGGTGGCTCACGGAGAAGATCAGTTCAGCTCTGCTGGTGCGGCTGCGGGTGCGGTTCCGCCTCTGATGATCAGAAGACCCTCCGCGGCTCCTTTGCCCAGACATGATGGGCGCTGGGGGGCGCTGTCTCTGACCCTTCTAGCTCTGCGGTGCCGTTCAGTGAGGTCAAGTGCAGGAAGATGCCAGTTGGTCTCAACCGCTCAAGATGACCAGTACAGAGGCTCCTGCTCTGTATCCTAGCGACCATGGACCGACCCCTCATTGGTCCAGGTACAGGTTCTATGACACATAAGTTCCGTGAGGTCACTGCTTTCCCATTGGCCCTGGTGGGCCGGGGCCTGCAAAGAAGAGGTGCTGGCAGCTCCCTGCTCACCCTTGCTCATGGGACCCTCTCTTTGAGGGAACTCTCACTGTCCACTGGACAGGAATGTTGTAGAGAAAAAACATGTGGGATCCAGTGGCACCAGGTATAACTGGTGATGTTGGACAGCCAGCACACCTATCTACTTCCAAAACGTTGGAACCTCCCCAAAAGAAACCCCTGTACCCTGTGTGGCAGTCACTCCCACTGACCTCCTCCTCTCCTAGACCCAGGCAACCATGAACCTGCCTCCTGTCCATAGAGCCTCGCCTATTCTGGAAATTTCTAGGGATGTAATCATAGGATAAACAGGTGGCTTTTTGGGTCTGCCTACTTTCACTGAACATAATGGTCTCACTAAGGTTCACCCCGGTGGTAGCATGAATCAGCACTTTATTCCCTTTTCATGCCTGAATAATATTCCATTGTATGGGTGGACTACATGTTGGGCATCGGTTCCTCAGTTGATGGGTGTTTGGGTTATTTTCACCTCCTGGCTGTTGTGAATAGCACCGCGGTGAACATTCCTGCACAGGGTTCTGTTTGAACACCTGTTTTCCGTTCTTCTGTGTGTCTATCTAGGAGCAGAATTGCCAGGCCAAGTGGTAATTCTATGTTTAACTTCCTGAGGAACCGCCCACTGATTTCCATAGTGATGGTTCCATTTTACAGTTCTGACAACAGTGTCTGAGGGCCCCAATTGCTCCATATCCTCATCAAAACTTATTTCCCTTTTGTCTTGCTTATAATCGCCATCCCAGTGGGTGTGAAGTGGTATCTCCTGGTTTTGATCTGCATTTCCCTAATGGCTAGTGATGTGGAGCATCCTTTTATGCGCCTCTTGGCCATTTGTACATCTGCTTTGGAGGAAGCAGATGTACTTTCAACTGCTTTGCCCATTTCCTAAAACTGGGCTGCTTGTCTTTTCTGTTGCTGAGTTTTAAGGTTCTTGATGCAGTCTGGAAAGTAGGCCACTATCAGATATGTAATTTGCAAATGTCTCTCCCATACTGGAGGTTGTCCTTTCACTTTCTAGATAGAGTCCTTTGAGGCACAAATGTTTTGCATTTGGATGGCATACAATTTATTTGTTTTACAGTGCAGAAAGGGGATTGGAAATGCTTCTACTTCTTAAACAGTTTTCACCCTCATAGTTTTGGTGCCCACCCGCTTCACCTCCACTTCCAGAGTTAGCCTTTGCAGCCTTTGGAGATTCTTCTGGTGGGCAGAAGGACAGTCGTAAATCAGGATGGTTTGGGGCTTTTCCTACTTAGGGCTTAGGATTCCTAGTTTGTGGCCTTCTGGGGTCTGTTCGGTTAATTGCTACTCATCTATCTCCTTTCCTGCTTTTTCAATCTTGTCAAATATAATTTTTGAGTAATTTCAGTAGATTTGGGGGACTTGATAAAGTTATATGTGGAAGTATGTGTTCCGCCTCAACTATACCTCATGGAGAGCATGGAGGTCTGCTTGCCTGCCTCATTCACCTTGTGCGCTTTTTTTTTTAAATCAAGCCACTCTCCCTAAAATACTCCAGACTCAGATGGTCTCATCGGGTTCTTTGATCCATTCTGTGACCTTTTTTGCCCTTTTAGCTCTCAGCCCCAAGACCATGTACTCCAAACCAACTTCCTAACCGTAAACCCTCAGGCCATGCTTGAAGTTCAGATGCCTTGCCAATATGTGTCTGCTTCATAACCTGTCTACTCTCTCTGACCCCTATCTTTTCCACACACTTTTCCAGTTCTGACCCTCATAACTCTACTCCTTCTCACTACATATAACGCTGACTCCTATCAGACACAGGCGAGCCCTGGTCCCTCCTATGCATTCAAATAATGATATTGGTGACAGTGATAACTACTAAGTGCTAAATGTTTCTTATGTGATGCTCACTATGGTAGACACTTTATACACATGACCTTGTTTCATTCTTCATCACAGCTTTACCTGATAGATGGCATTTATTAGACCCATTTTATAGATGAAGAATCAGAGGCTCAAGGAGGGAGAGCAGCTTCCCAAAATTCACCAGGCTGGTAAGAAACAGAGATGGAATTTAAACCCAGATCAGGCCAAGCCCATGCTCTTGTTAGGACACTATCCTGCTCCAGTCAAGGCCTCAGAGAGGGAGCTGGTAAGCAGAAGGTGAGAAGGTACTTAGTGCCTGAACTGGAAAAATGGCCACCATCAATGGGACAAAAGGTAGACCATGAAGAAAGATGGGGCTAACAAAGAAAAAGCTTCACTGACTTCACAGGTTTGAATAGCATTGACCCTGTGATCTTCATTTGTGCACAGGATAAATTACCATGCTTATCTACCCACACAGACAGAAAGTTAGTACACCACTATAAATCAATATACTCACCAACATGGGTTAACACATTGCGGGCGGATCACGAGCATTCTCGTGTTTTCATATTACAAGTGTTTTACATAAATGTTAAAGGCACGCCTTAAAATTAACTACCCATTGCATTTTGAAGTTATTTATTGCATGTTCTTACAAGCTAATATCTTTTTAAAATATGATACTTTGTAAAACGTTTTTTGTACTCGTTCAATAGCAACTTATCTGGCCACTGGGTAAAGCTAGCAATAAAACTACTGGTGCGCAATGTGTTAGGATGATTTATCACAATTGTAAAAGATGCTTGATTATTTTTGTCCAGAAAGAAAGCTTGAATTCTATTAATAAAGCTAAGACTTTTACTGCTTCCTAGCCTGGCACAAAAATAAAGTCATAACAATAAGCCTGAGTTGTCAAGAAAGCATGTAGTCATATTTTACAAACCAACTTAGGGAATTATGGCCCTAGCTGGTTTGTCTCAGTGGATAGAGTGTCGGCCTGTGGACTGAAGGGTCCCAGGTTCGATTCCTTTCAAGGGCATATGCTCAGGTTGCAGGTTCGATCCCCAATGTGGGGTCTACAGGAGGTAGCCGATCAATGATTCTCTCTCATCATTGCTATTTCTTTTTTTAAAAATATATTTTATTGATTTTTTACAAAGAGGAAGGGAGAGGGATAGAGAGTTAGAAACATGGATGAGAGAGAAACATTGATCAGCTGCCTCCTGCGCACCCCCTACTGGGGATGTGCCCGCACCCAAGGTACATGCCCTTGACCGGAATCGAACCCAGGACCCTTCAGTCCACAGGCCAGTGCTCTATCCATTGAGCCAAACCGGTCAGAGCTCACCATTGCTATTTCTATCTCTCTCTCCCTCTCTCTTCCTCTCTGAAATTAATTTAAAAATATATTTTAAAAAACAAATTTAGAGAATTAGGGAAGAGTAAAATCCACATGGGAAAGATTTACATTGATTTCCCACTCAAGATGGTAAAGTGAGTTCATACTATGGAACGCCTGCCACTCCAAACACATGACAATGATAGAAAAAAATATTAACAGGTAAAATAAAAAATGAACAGCCAAGACAAAAAAAAATGGTCTGTGTTGAAATGGCAGGCTTTGTAGACTGGAAGAAAATACTGATAGCAAGAAATTGAGCTCCTTGCAGAGTATAACATTCCAAAAATACTCTGAGTAAGATGAAGCACAAAAGCCAGGCTTATTGCTTCAAGCCAAAGACTAGCATCAAACTATCCAAAACCCCACTAACTCCTGCATGTATATCTGACAGAAAAAGAACTACTATCAAATCTATCAGGGTCATTGGCTCTTGTGAGTTTCAGGCCTACAGAGATGAGAACAAAGACATTGCCTGACATCACAACTAGGAGCTGAGCTAAGTAACCAGCTGGCTCTGTGAGTGGATCCCCTAAGATGCCCAGGAGCTCTCTGGGGAAGTGATATGAACATGTCCTATAAAATGGTTTTAATCCTAACAACTGACTGGTATTTTGCAGGAGTGCAGTAAAGAAGAAAAGGGTGCTGAATAGAATGATTTCCTTCCATCACAAAGCTTCTACCTTTGCAACAAGCAAAATTAGAGAAATTGGAAAACACTTTTTAGAAAGTGAGGGGGTTTTGTTGATGTTTGCAAACTATTTATAAAACTAATCTAGCTATTCTTGTGTGTGTTTTTTATGGAATTTCCATGCAAGCAAGAAGACAATGGAGTCACATCTTTAAATTATTGAACAATTTAACCCATAATTCTATACCAATTGAAAATATCTCTAGAAAAATAAAGAAGAAATACTTAATAGATGAACAAAAACTGAAAAGAATTGTCAGCATACCTATCCTGCCAGATATGTTAAAAGAAGTTCTTTCAGAAGAAATACAATAGAGTTTAGAAACTTGGATTAGACAAAGAAATGAACAACTTTGTATATGATATAAAGGAATGTAAAATACAACATATTTCTCTCATTTTAAGGTTATTGAAAAATAACTATTTGTTTAAAGCACTAATGGCAGTAATATATGGGCTGTTTATAACATATGCAAAATGAAATGTAGGAGAACAATGGCACAAAAATGGATACAATTCTTACATTACACAAGAAGTGGCATAATATTACTGGAAAATAAACAGTCTACTTATTGAAAACTCAAGATAATGACTGAACTTGTTTAAGAAAAGATGCATAAATTATGTCAACGGAGGAGATAAAATGGGATCATATAAATTGCCCAATTAAAACCAGAGAAGGCAGAAAAAGAGGGAAAATAACGCAGCAGACCTACAATAAAAATAAAACAGCTAGAAATATGATAGATGTTTATCTAATTATATTAGTAACTCTTAATATGAGTAGACTAAATACACTGGTAGAAGGAACTTGTCAGATTGCGTTAAAAATTACAACTCAGCCGAAACCGGTTTGGCTCAGTGGATAGAGCATCGGCCTTGTGGACTGAAGGGTCCCAGGTTCGATTCCGGTCAAGGGCATGTACCTGGGTTGCGGACACATCCCCAGTGGGAGATGTGC